TTTCTGCACGGCGAGAGGCGGCTCGGGGCATGCACTGGGTCTTTTGGTGATCCCTCCCCACCCACTGCTATTTCTTCCCCACCCGCTTTTATAGGAGTCTGATGGCTCCCGTTGGCTTGAGGCGCATTGATTATAGCGACTGCAATGACCCATTTAAATTGCGTTCAGTAATTTCTCAATTCGTTGTCCTGCAGAGATGAGTTACGTATAAGCATATTTTAATGATTAACTATTGGGCTCTGCTGAGGCCCTGGCAGAAAATGCAGCATCCGCAGCCTCGCTCCGTCTCTCCCTCTCCTCTCACCAGCTCCCTGCTCCATCACCAGTCTCCAAAATCTATGGTTTTCCTCGGACCCTCCGCTCCTGGCCCGATAAACCCAGCTCTGCTGGCACCACAGGGAAGGCTCCAGCTCCCAGAGCTGCAGAAGGGCTGGGAAAAAGGCTGGGAAAAAGCTCAAAACCCAGAGTCCAAAGAGGAAGAACCAACATCTGGGGCTGGATTCACCTTTTGAGCCACTCCTGGCATCCATTCATGAGGAGAACACATAAGAAAGCAGTAACTGCTCATCATTATATGCCCAGACCCCATCCAAGCGACCCACATGGACAGGGGGTCCGGTCCCACTGGGATCAGACCCACAGGGCTGGGAAAGGGACGGCTCCACTGAGCCCACGCCTGGGGCAGGACGTTGCACAGGAAAAGGCAAAATGTTTAAATTGGCCTGAAGCGGCCCGTTTCCACCCCCGGCCCGCTCACGGATGCTGCGGTGTGGGCAGCTGGGAGCAGCAGCGTGTGGGGGGGGTTTATGGGCTTTGCTGGGCGATGGAGGAGCAAACCTGGTGGGAGGAGGCAGTCAGATCCCATCAGGTTTTGGATGGGTGTTCTCAGCGTTTCCTTTTCCTCTCTCACGGCCACCCTCCGGCTGCTGCACCCCAAGAAAGCCTTTGGCGCTGCCTTGCCATGGCGTTCTCCAAGGAAATTGGTGAACATCACAAAAGAAGGGGAAAAAAAACCCCAAACTTTATTCGCAGATGAATTTGCCAAGCGCCTAAGAAGGCAAACCCCATTGCAGTGGCACCAACCACTTTCCCCGTGGGACAAGGGACATCAGGTGCCCGGTGCATCAGGATGGGGACAGGATGCCACATGCAGAGGCATCGAGGTGCTTGTCCTGCACATTTCTCCCCCAAACCCACCTGCTTTCTGTCCAAATGTGGCATTTCAGAGCTCACCACGTGTTGCTGTGCATCGCTGTCCTATCCTGGGGCAGTCAGATAGCGGAACACACCTAATTAGCAAAAAAAGACCAATTTTAATCAGACAGAGAGCCCTTTAGGCCCAGTGCAAGAGCAGATGCTTGACCCACAGCTACCAGTAAGGGCCCCAGGTTGGTCCTGGCTGATGCCCTCCCTCCTTGGCGGGCAGCACGGGGAGCTCAAAGGTCCTTTTAGACCTGGCCAAAACCTCTCTAGTCTATCAGAGCACTTTCTTTAAAGCCTTTATGTCTCCAGGGGTTAACTTTCACTATATATATAAACATACGCATATATAAAGTGTGGGAAGAGCTGGGAGACCACCCCCTCCCCTCACTCTCTGCTGAGCTGGATAATTTCAACAGCTCATGCTTTCTATTTTTGGCTGCCTTATTCCGGACGGCGTCTGGTCTGTAACAAAAGGGATTTACTCTCTCGAATCGACATCCCGTGGCAGAGGAGCCCCAGGGCCCAACACGGGGTCACGGAGCCGGGCTGGCTCTGCTGCCCCAAGGCTGCCGCGGTTTTTGGTGGAGGAGCCAAGGTCAAGTGTGTAAAGAGCAAACTCACGAGGAATCGCTAACGTAGAAACGCCAACGCACCAGGTCCCCGCTGCGCTGCAGCCGCCCAGGGCCGATGGAGGCCATGGAGAAGGGACCTGGTTACAGGTTCCCAGTTGGGACTGAGGGAGGAAGCTCACCCCCGTCCCCCCTGCGCTGATGTCCCAGCTGGAAGCCCCTCTCCATGGCCCTGCTGCTGTTGGACACCTCCATCCTGCAGCCACGTCTGGCTGGGAAGCGATGGTGTCTCTCCTGTCCTCAGAGGATAGAACAAGGGGAAACGGCACCAAGCTGTGCCAAGGGAGGTTCAGGTCAGAGATAAGGAGGAAGTTCTTTCCTGAGAGGGTCGTCAGAAGCTGGAACAGGCTGCCCAGGGAGGTGGTGGAGTCACCATCCCTGGATGTGTTTAAAGAGCGGGTAGACGAGGTACTTAGGGATATGGTTTAGGGGGTAGACAGGAGCGGTTGGACGTGATGATCTCAGAGGGCTTTTCCAACCGAGCCATTCTGTGATTCTGTGATTCAGAGGCACCAGCAGCGGGGAGGGTTTGGGGTGAGAAGCAGACCACTTTGCAAAACAGCTGGGTTTGGTGTGGGGTTTTTTTTCCTCTTTTTTCAATGAACAATGAAGTTGCTGCCTGGCCCCATAAAAGAATAGGGCTGGGCGCTCCCTGCCAGCTTTCCCCTCGCAGCTCCGCAGGGTCCCGAGCAGAGCCCGGCAGGGCCAAGCGCTGATTGCACGCAGCAGTTTGGGCCACGAAGCTGCCCCTGTTAGGAGGAGGATGCACAAACGAGGGCTTTAAACCCCAGCAGCACAGCACCCCATCCCTCCTGCAGCTCCTCCGCATCTTCCCCATTTCCAGCAAGTCCTTCCCGATGATTATTTGGCTTTCCCATCTCTTTTCAGACGTTCTCTCACCCCCTTGGGCTGGTTTATTTTAATTATCTTTAAAGCTTTAACGGCCTCTCAGCTACCTTTGATGGTTGTTTTTATAAATACTCAAGTTAATAAAGATCCTTAATGCAGGGGGAAATTAATTTAAGCCTCGTGTACCGGGAGACTCTTGCTCGTGGCAAACAAAGGTTCCTGGGTTTTAGCAAACGCTTCCCAAGTGCTCGCTGCATTCGAGCTGTGCTTTGGCCGCAGCCGGTTGTTTCAGCACAAGCGTTTCTTTCTGCTCAGGACAAACTCTGCAGTGGGATTGCTTTCTGTGGGAACAGAAAATATTTTCTCTGTCAACGTCTTCGGCCGCTCCAACCTAAACAATGCAGTCATCGCCTCCCTCTGGGCCGCTGGCCACAGCCCAGACTGCGCCTCCAGAGCAGCCCTTGGCAAAGGGGCTAACGGGACCCTCCTCCCTCCGGCAAGGCTACGAAACATCAATTATGGTTTTAAAGGGTCCTTTGGGCTTCTTTAGGGAAGTCTCTGAGCTCGTCTGGGAGGGTTGGACACATCCAAGCTGCTGCTGAAATGCTTTAAAGAGTTTTCGCATCCCAAGGACAAGCAGTTCCCTGCCTGCCCTGACCCCAGCCTCAGGACACCGTGACTGCCAACAGTCAAAATGTTAATTTTTAAACTAATTTCACATCATTCCATGGTACGCTCTACTCATCTCTTCTGTTTAGCTGCCCATTTAGAGAGAAAAGTAGATACTGGTGTATCACAAAACCCACCAAGGGCTTTTCTCCTCTACTGCTTTATTTACCCAGTCAAAACGTACCTGCAGTTTTCAGTCTCGGAATGCACTTAATGCAAGATAAATTATGTTTATGAGGTACCAAAAATATTTTCCAATTATTTCCTTTCCTCTCCAAACATCAAAGCAGTGTAAAACTCCACGGAAATGCGTATTGTAAATCCCCCAGACACGGGAAGTTGTCGCTCCCTTTCATATACAGCAGAACTAAAGCTCAGAACGTGTAAATTCTCTGCATAAAAACACAAAATAAAACCACGAGAGAAGCAGGGAAAAAAAAGAAAGTCAGATATTCTGATTCAAGGTCTTCTACCTTCTCAATAAGCCACAAAATTCCCAGGATGTACTTCAGACTTTATTTCCATTTCCAGTTTAGTATAAAAGAATGGTCAGCAGTCGTAGTTTAAAACCGGTTTGATGTGTAACTCATGATTCCATGTATATATGTGTGTGTAAATATATATATTTATATAGATATATATGTAATATATATACACACACACAAAAGATTGATTATAGTCATCAATGCTTTCAACATTTAATACCTGATCCTGAAATCTTTCATGGGACGAAAGCTCAGTACACAAATCTGCTTCAACCAGGCCAGATTCTCGTTCTTTTAAAGCAGATCAGGACTTCACCTCTGTGCTGACCCATTCGTTTCTCCCATGATGGACAGCGTGTGCGCAAGGTTGCGACTCCTCTCTAGTCAAGTACTGGAACAAACTTTCAAAAGCAAAATACACACCTCGTGCCAAAACGTTCTCCTTGTACGACTAAGAGCCTTACAATGAGAGTCCAGAGCCTCTGCCGCTGCAAACTGGTCCAGCTCAGCCCATTTCAGTGGCCGTCCGCGATGCAGTCGATGGTGCGGATCTGTTGTCACGCACGGGCTGCCAGACATCCTCGCGAGCAGTGACCCCAGCAGCAGATCCTCTCGCTCCCACGATGCCAACAGCCTCCTTGAAGCCGTCTGGCCCGACACCAAGCAGCCCTCGTACGTTGCTCTCCGTTCCGATCGCTGAAAAAAGCCTTTTCACAACCGGCTCCGAAAGTCGGCTTTGTGTTGGAGAGCGGATTCTGAAAACCACTCGGGCAATTCCAAAGCATACGAAAGCAATTATAATTATAATACTGCAGCAATAATTAAAACACTGCCAGCTGTATATAAGCCTGTTCAAATGTACAGCTGTTATACGGGTAACGGAAAAATACAACAGCTTCAGATTCTGTGCCCCATAATTTCTCAGACTGCTCCACTACAAACTCAAGTTACCACCATCCCCGTTTATGACTAAAAACTAACACAATAGTGTCCTTTTCCGTGCTTTCTGGTAAACAATTGGTTCCCTCATCACCTCTGAGCAATACGAATTGTAACACATTTTACAACGATGTCCTCTCCAAGATTAAACCGGTATCCAGTAAAAAGCAGAAAACCATTAGCTGAGTTTCCTCTGCTGGAATCGTTGCTGGTCGATGCCTCCTACGCTTGGTCACCTTTGTCTTCCGCTGCCATTGCCACGTCTCTCTGCTGCTCTTCTGGGTCCCCTGGGAGGATAGTGGTGACTGTCTGCAGCAGCGACTCGATCTGCTCCTCCGTCAGCCGCTCCTCGCTTTCTTCTACCATCTGCAGGTGCAAAAACAACCCACACAATCATTAAATCCATACATCCTTCCTCAGCTCCAAACAGAAGGGCTCGACTCATTGGGAAACACTGATTTCAACAGATGCAAGGCATCGTCTGAGCTCATTACGAAAGCATTTTATGAAGTGGAGCTCTTACAATATTTATAAGAAGGAAGAAGAGCTCCACCGTTATCAGTGACAATTTGCACTCCATAATGGGACCCTGCTTGCTTTGCAACACAGGAAAGAGCACACCCAGAGCAGGATTTTCCTCCCTGGTTTCTCCTCAAGCCTTTCTCAGCCTACGCATCAGTACCTTGAGCTGGACTTTGCATTTAGCTCACGTGCAGACCTACTTTCCAGAGCTATTTTTCTAAATTCCTGTACTTTCATGCAAGAACCGAAACAAGATAACCCAAGAGTGGTTACCTGAACCCTGATGTATTATCCAGCACCTAAACTAGAAATAATCAGGCCATAAAAGAAACCACCTCCTCCTGCAACAGCTAGACTTCACTGGAACTGACTTAGATTGGGAGATTTCTGAAAAGAAAGGCATAGAGAAGCTCTGAGCAACACAAAACACGCTGTCACGGATCAACAATAAAGTTCTGTACAATTAATTAGGGACCTGCTCTCGCTGTGGAGCTGCGGGAACTCTCATATCGCTGCTACCAGTAAACACAACTGCCCTCATTTATAGGCAGCTGTTAAAAGGGAAAGCTTGTCAGAGACTGGAGAAGGGCTAGAAAAGCAAGTCAAATAAACGCTTCAAACGCAAATGAAAGCGGTTACAGTTGTGGGGTTTGAGGTTTTCTTTTTTTACACAAAGTCCTTTAAAACCCCCTTTGAAGAGCGGATTAGATCAATTACGGTTCCCAGCCAAGGCAGGTTTAATCAGTTCTAGCTCTCACTTGTCAGCTATTCAGAGGCATCTTGCCTCCTAAAAAGCAGAGCGGTATATTCAATTAACTTGGTTTTTTTATCCATGTCCTCTGAGCCCTCTTTGCTCAACCGGATGATCTTTCCTCAGCCATTATCCACAGGTCCTTGACGAGGGGAAAGCGAGCACGCTCAGATCCACTTGCACAGCACGAGGCAGAGAATGAATGGCCATTTGCAAACGCCTGTTTCTGGCGTCCATGCCAGTCAATGGATGAAACTCCCCGTGGAGCAGCTTTCCAGCCATGGTTTGCTCAGGAACCGCTGTACGACTTGGGCTTAAAAAGCAGCCCTGACTCTGACCCCCGCCAGCAGCTACACCACACACTGTAAGTTAAAATACACTAAAAATCCTCCTAACGTTACCCCCTTCTGTGTGAGCAGCTGCTGCAGTGACTGGACTGCTATGGGGCATTGCTCGTTAGGCTGCGTCTCAGAGGTGACCATCTCAGCAGCCTGCCATACCTTGGAGCACCAACACGACACAATGAAGTGTGTTCAGTGCGTACATCTGCTCTTTGCTGCCCAAACTGCTGACAAAGCCATTACCCTACAGATGGCCTACGCTATTAAGTTTGGTAGAAGATCATGAGCATGGTTTTGGGGCTGGATTATAGCATTATTAAGTGCTGTTACACTGAACTTTAGAGGTGACTGCCCTATAGCAGCAGGAACCGTACGAAGGAAAAG